CAGAAGTGTCTCTTGCTGTATACTCGCCCCCCATTTTTCTTCTTTTGCAGCTGCATGATAACAATCTTATTTGCCTTTGGTTCGTCACTTTCCGAGTCTTGAAGAAAAGTGTTTTTGATTTTTCTTTTTCCATACTTTTTTACAGGTTTCTTCTTGACAGTTAAATCGTCAGAATCTGAGTCGACTTCATCAATTAGGGACTCTTGACTAAGCTGCACAAACAACAAATAATTTGTAATCATTCTATATAACAATTTGAAGTCATGACTTGTAGTCAGCACTTACCAGTGGTTTGTAAGCGTGCGCTTCAGTGTGCTCCTCCATGATTTCTTGCAGCCTAATGAACCACACACTTGCACCTTTTTCTAGCCTGACACCTGATTTCCTCTGTTGTGCTGCTCCATGATTGGCTCCAGCCTGCTGGACTGAAATTGCCCCAGTGTGCCCCTCCTTGATATCCCGCAACCCACCACCAGGGTTCCGACACATAACACACTTTTTTCAGGAAAGTAAACCTCCAGGGGTCCTTTCCATATTTTTACAGAGACTGCATAAGGACCGTTAGAAAAGCATTACCCATTGATTATTAAGCTTGGACCAGTGGGGTCCGGTGTTCGGGCCCCACCACGTAAAACCAGTCCCCATGACGTGAGTGGAATCTCAGGTTATGGAACCCACCAGGAGTTGAAAACAAGTGCACACACACTGTTGATCAAACACACACACACACACACACACACTGTCGATCACACACACACACACACGCACACTGTCGATCACACACACACACACACACACACTGTTGATCACACACACACACACACACACACACACACACTGTTGATCACACACACACACACACACACACACACAAACACACACTGTCGAACACACACACACACACTGTTGATCACACACACACACACACACACACACACGTTATGTTCATCACATCTGCACTGGTGTGTCCTTCTCTTGGTGTGTCCCTTGTGCACCAAAATAACCCAAAGTAAAAAATAAATAAAAATACTAACTTGAGCGAGGTTGCCAGGTAAGGAAATGGTTGTGTAGTTTCAGCCTCTTATTGATCACCTCAGACACACCTGCGCTACTTATTCTTCAAAAGGACGTATATCCCAAAGCACTGCAGGGATATGGATTGATCCTAATGAATACAATTATAAAGTGAGGTAGTCCTAAGTTGTGTGTGTGTGTGTGTGTGTTTGTGTGTTTGTGTGTGTGTGTGTCTGTGTGTGTGTCAGGGCCGCTGTTACGGAGGCCGCTGTAAGACCAGGGACGGTCAGTGCCGGACTCTCTGGGGCTACAGTAAGTCCTCATTATTTCATATTTATATATTTTATTGGGTTCATATCTGTATCGTTGTGTTTTCAGACTCAGCCGACCGATTTTGTTACGAAAAACTCAACTCTGAAGGAACAGAACAAGGGAACTGTGGTCACGACGCCACGGGACACGGCTGGGCGCCCTGCAGCAAACCGTGAGGACATCAACCTTCTCCACGCCATCTCAGAGACTTCTAACTGTTTTGATTTGATGGACTGAGGCTGTAGATCCAGGACTGAGGCTGTAGACCCAGGACTGAGGCTGTAGACCCAGGACTGAGGCTGTACAATACAATTACAATACAATACAATGTATTCTTGTATAGCCATAGGTCACAACAGAAGTCATCTCAGAGGACTTAACAAAACCATTGAAATCACCAACACAGGTCAGAGAATCAACAGTTAAAACACATGAAGAATATAAAGCACACACAGAAGAAAATGTCCATACATGTTGTAGAATGCTAAAGTGTCCTGATCATCACCAATCCTTTCTGTTGGACACTAACTGTCCAACAAGACCCTCCTGCATCGACAAGGAACAACTCTTAAAAAACCCAGTGGGAAAAAGTGAGAAACCTTGGGGAGAACTAGGGAAACCCACAGGGAGGGAGACCCATATGAGAAAGGGATCCGCTCCTCCGGACGGACAGGCTAATGATCTAGGACCTAAGCTAGCTACAGAACGTGGACCAGTGGACGCTGAACGTGGACAGGTCCGGTGCAGGACTGAAGCACTCCCAGGCGGGTCGGGCGGGGCAGTCCGCAGGTGTAGATGGAAGAGGCCAGGCTCAGAGATCCCGTCATCGTACCATGAAACAGACAATGGGACAACGGGTGAATAGCAATGAACAAACTTACAGTCAGAATCCTAAAAATGCTAAACAGATAAAGTAGGAAGGAGGAGAGGATAGTGCTCAAGTTACCATACTTCTCCCAGCAAACTGACTCCCTATGCAGCTTGACTAACACTCTGAGGAGTTTAACCTTCTCCGAGTCTTACCTTCCTAGCCATATGCTAAACTAAAGAGGACTGTTTTAAACCTAGCCTTGAATAAAGAATAACATACAGCATAATATATAACATAATATACAACATAACACAATACATTATTGAATAATATATAACATAATATATAACATAATACAGCATATATATATAATATATACACTACATATTATATGCTAAATTAAAGTAAAGCACACACAGAAGAAAATGTCCATACATGTTGTAGAATGCTAAAGTGTCCTGATTATCACCAATCCTTTCTGTTGGACACTAACTAAGACTGAGGCTGTAGACCCAGGACTGAGGCTGTAGACGATCTATTCTGGTGCATGTACATCTAGGCTGCGTGTCATCAGCAGACGGGTCAATAGTGTACGTCCGGGCGCTGCTGCAGCTGTGGCTCCGATGGAAAGTCTCCTCGGGCCAATTCAATGGTGACCTGTGGCCCCTGTGTACTTATATTATCAATGCCATACATCGCTGTAATGCACTGACTCTGTTGAACGTGCAGAGGCCGCGTGACCAGCCGCGCTCAGAGCTGTTTGGTCAAAACAGAGAATGGAAAAAACCTCAAGTGAAGACCTGCTATTGTTTCAGACTTTAAGTTGGATTTGATGCTGTTTGTTGAATGCTGTAATTCTGACTTGAACTAACATATGAGGCTGTAGATCCAGGACTGAGGCTGTAGGACGAGGACTGAGGCTGTAGACCCAGGACTGAGGCTGTAGATCCAGGACTGAGGCTGTAGGACGAGGACTGAGGCTGTAGACCCAGGACTGAGGCTGTAGATCCAGGACTGAGGCTGTAGGACGAGGACTGAGGCTGTAGACCCAGGACTGAGGCTGTAGGACGAGGACTGAGGCTGTAGACCCAGGACTGAGGCTGTAGACCCAGGACTGAGGCTGTAGACCCAGGACTGAGGCTGTAGACCCAGGACTGAGGCTGTAGATCCAGGACTGAGGTTGTAGATCTAGGACTGAGGCTGTAGACCCAGGACTGAGGCTGTAGACCCAGGACTGAGGCTGTAGACCCAGGACTGAGGCTGTAGACCCAGGACTGAGGCTGTAGACCCAGGACTGAGGCTGTAGACCCAGGACTGAGGCTGTAGACCCAGGACTGAGGCTGTAGACCCAGGACTGAGGCTGTAGACCCAGGACTGAGGCTGTAGACCCAGGACTGATGCTGTAGACCCAGGACTGATGCTGTAGACCCAGGACTGAGGCTGATGCAAGAATGTCCTGAGTCCAATTCCACCTCCACCCGTTTCTCTGAGGAGTTTGCATGTTCTCCCCGTGTCTGCTGCGGTCTAACTCTCAGCCACATTTGAACAGAAATACAACAATTATGTTTTTAAATCTTCCAAAAGTGAACCTGCAATGAAATACAAATGTTTTGGAAGCCATTTTAGTATCCTCCTCAGCCATATTTAGTCGCTTTATTGTCCGGTATTTTAACTGTCCAGAAAATGTGTTGACAAATACTGTTTCCAGTCTGACAGAGAGCCGTGGTGGATGTGACGGCCTCATACATATTCACGATGTGTTTCCATGCGCCGCTGTGGGACGGGAGCTGTCAGTCACTCCAACATGGCCGCCGACCTCTTTCCGTCACAGTGGAAGTCCTCCTCCCTCCTCCTCGCTCTCGGCTCCTGATGAGGATAATTACTACTGTTTAACTGATTTAACTTTCCCTGTTTGTGCCTCACTGCACTCCCACCACATACAGAACTAAACTGCTTTTATAGGCCGCTGCTAACGTGCAAAGAAGGTTATAAAAAACTACCTTGGTTTGATTCCACCTCTTTCTATTCTTTCTATGTGGAGTTTGAAGGTTCTTATCTGTGTATGGGTTTCCTTTACTATCATGATTTTCATGCTTGGCCCCGGGCAGCACAGAGCGGGACAGGAGCAGACTGAACAAGCTGGTCAGGAGGGCCAGCTCCACTCTGGGCTGCTCCCTGGACTCTGTGGAGGAGGTGAGGGACAGGAGGCCCCTGGACTCTGTGGAGGAGGTGAGGGACAGGAGGCCCCTGGACTCTGTGGAGGAGGTGAGGGACAGGAGGCCCCTGGACTCTTTGGAGGAGGTGAGGGACAGGAGGCCCCTGGACTCTGTGGAGGAGGTGAGTGACAGGAGGCCCCTGGACTCTGTGGAGGAGGTGAGGGACAGGAGGCCCCTGGACTCTGTGGAGGAGGTGAGGGACAGGAGGCCCCTGGACTCTGTGGAGGAGGTGAGGGACAGGAGGCCCCTGGACTCTTTGGAGGAGGTGAGGGACAGGAGGCCCCTGGACTCTGTGGAGGAGGTGAGTGACAGGAGGCCCCTGGACTCTGTGGAGGAGGTGAGGGACAGGAGGCCCCTGGACTCTTTGGAGGAGGTGAGGGACAGGAGGCCCCTGGACTCTGTGGAGGAGGTGAGGGACAGGAGGCCCCTGGACTCTGTGGAGGAGGTGAGGGACAGGAGGCCCCTGGACTCTGTGGAGGAGGTGAGGGACAGGAGGCCCCTGGACTCTGTGGAGGAGGTGAGGGACAGGAGGCCCCTGGACTCTGTGGAGGAGGTGAGGGACAGGAGGCCCCTGGACTCTGTGGAGGAGGTGAGGGACAGGAGGCCCCTGGACTCTGTGGAGGAGGTGAGGGACAGGAGGCCCCTGGACTCTGTGGAGGAGGTGAGGGACAGGAGGCCCCTGGACTCTGTGGAGGAGGTGAGGGACAGGAGGGTGCTAGTCAAAGCCACCTCCATCATGAACAACACTTCCCACTGCACAGGACTGTAGAGGAGCTGGGGCCTTTATCCCCACCGCTGTCAGACTGTACAACAAGTCACTTTAAGTCACTGCACCATAACTGATTAGAAACCTGCACTACTATTGACACTTCTTTCTAATTGCCACTTTATTTGTACATAATATCCGGCATTAACATGTTCCACATTTCTTACTTTTGCACAATTCTTGAGTGTTCCTGTCCTTGTCAATGTGACATGTATTTCTCCTGTGTGAGATTAATAAAGTCTTATCTTATCTTATCTTTGTTCCTTAAGTGCGAGGAAGGGGCTGACCTCAAGCCTGGTAAAGTTCAGGGACCAACGCTGCAAATAATTATAAAATATGAGGTAATAATTAATTGACTGTTTTATTAACTGAAAAGACAGTGAAAAGTTTACAATAAACTAGAAAACATAAAGACTTATGTTCACAAATTAATTTTATCTTCCAAATAAAGTTTCACACTGCGGTCGCTGTATCGGACCGTTGTGGTAAGGAGGGAGCTGAGCCGAAAGGCAAAGCATCTTTTTCTGGTCGAGCACTCATGTTTGGAGGTGCTGATTCTCATCCCAGCCCCTTCACACTCGGCTGCAAACCGTCTCAGTGCATGTTGCAGGTCCTGGTTCAATGGATTCAACAGGACAACATCGCCGACAAAGAGCAGAGATGAAATCCTGAACAGAAGGGCAGCCTTGGCGGAGGCCAACATGCACCAGGAACAGGTGTGACTTACTGCAGGTGATGCCAACGCAGCTCTGGCTCCGGTCATACTTCGGTTGTCCTCTACCCCCAACCCTACTCTGACCCTCTAATCCTTACTCTGACCCTAAGCCTAACTCTAAACCTAACCCTCTAACCCGGTCATACTCCGGTCATTCTCGAAACCTAACCCTACTCTGACCCTCTAATACAACACAATACAATGTATTCTTGTATGTCCCTAAATCACAACAGCATCATCTCAGAGACTTAACAAAACCATTGATATCACCAACACAGGTCAGAGAATCAACAGTTAAAACACACAATCCTAACCCTAACCCTAACCCTAACTCTAAACTTTACCCTACTAATCCTAACTCTAACTCTAACCCTCTAACCCTAACCTTTGGGGGGTTCCCAGGATCCTGTACTCCCAGAGAACCGCGCAGAGGACACCCAGGGAACACAGTCGAATGCCTTCTCCAAATCCACAACCCATTTGGACAGGTTGGGCGAACTCCCATGAACCCTCTAATACTACATACTAATACTAAATTTCCACTTTAGTATAAGTATTTAGTATTTAGCACTTTGCTGCTCCAAAATCCTGTGGGAACCGTTTACAGTGTTCTTTGGGTTGTCCAAGTTTTGTCCAATTTCGGAATTGTACAGAACTCAATGTGACAAAAACCCAAAGCTCACGGCTCACTTTCCCAAAGAGTCTGGTCTACGGCATCGCAGGTGATGCTGTAGACTCTGAAGTAACCCTTCAGAGTCTACAGCCCAGACGTGTCCAAACAGATGCATAAAGGGCTGCTGTGGCTGCAGGTTTTTTAGGGTTGACCTGAGTGAACAAATGCCCATGACGGGCATTGGTTCACATAATCACCCAGAACCAACCAGCGCTTAAAATGGGGGAAGGTCTGTAAACGTCTGGTATCCAGACGTGGCATAAAAGAAAAGCAGCAGTAGCCTACTGCCACCAACGACAGACTGGTCACCGCCACTTTCTTTGCCAAGTTTCTGATATTAAACCAAAAGCTACCCTGGTTTGACTCTTTCTAGCGGAGATCATTTTGCTCCCGCATGTCATTGTCCTCCTCCATACTCACCTGTGGACCACAATCTGCTCTCTCTCCGGCCGCTACATCCTCGATGGTCATCGGGGTCTGCTGTCAGACTGTACGGTGGCCGAGTGGATAGCACTCTCGCCTCTCAGCAAGAAGGTCCTGGGTTCGAATCTCGGCCGGACCAGGGCCTCTCTGAGTGGAGTTTGCATGTTCTCCCCGTGTCTGCGTAGGTTTCCTCCGGGTACTCTGGTTTCCCCTACCACTAAAAAAATATGTCCAATAGGTCTGGCATGCGCCTCCTGTTCGGCGACCCCGCTCCCATTTCTGTGTGGAGTGAGAGACAAGTGCCCAAAAAATAACAATTGTAAACCGCTTTGTGACTCTGGTCTGTGAAAGGCGGTATATAAATAAAGATTACTTACTTACTTACTTACAATAAGAACTGCTGAGCCTGTCAATTTCATTCATCTGTAATTAATTTAAGTAAATCCTTAAATTATGTGCAATGTGCAATACTGCAACTTCAGAATGACACAGAACAATGTCACTTTACCTGATGTCACTTTACTTATATACTTTTTATCCTGCACTATTTAACTGTACAGTATATAACTGCACTACTACTACATATATATTTTTTGATGGTATTGAAGCATTTTCAGCATCTACAGCTAGTTATATTAGTTAAGAAACATAGCTACTACTTATTTTGTATATAGTGTATATATTGTGTGTGATCCCTGTGTGCTCTTACTACTGTCCTGTATGTGCACTGCAACAACGGAATTTCCCCACTGTGGGACAAATAAAGGAACTCTTATCTTATCTTAAAAACAAATAATACTGACTTGCTTGTTTTTAAAGTCTAACCCTTCTGTTGTGAGTTAGGGCTATACAAGAATAAATTGTGTTGTATTGTATTGAACAACAGCGCCCCCTAGAAATTCAAATTTTTAGTCTGATACCAAAGAACACCAAAATAATACATTTCATGCCAGAAAACTCACCAATTGTGGCAAAATGTTGCAAGTTTTTGTGTTTGTTATGTGGGTCAAATATGAGATCAAACTACAGAAAAACCCAAATAACTGTATCCCCATGTAAACCTTTACTTAGCCTGTAGGGGGCGCTAATGGGCCAATGTCATTGTTCACACTGTCATGTGACCTAGGCCCAGGAGTTGAACAATAGAGTCAAGTTTAGTGCAAATCAGAGTTTGTAAATGTGCTCCTGTTTGCACATACAATCTGTGAGTGTGTCCACACAGTCTCCATTGGATAACATGGGAACTTCACACCTCTCTATGAAAATAACCACACTTTGGGAGTCTGTCACGCTCAGACTGTGTTGATCAAAGTTTGTGCAAATTAGACTTTGTTTGTGCAAACGGGAGTAAATTTGCTATAGTGAATAATTGAAAAAAAAAAAATGTGTTAGTGGAATTGTATAGGTTATCATTTAAATGTATGTGAATGACCTACATTGGAGTGTGGAAATCTACAAGCTAATAATTATCCACAGTGTCCACAACTATAGCCTGGTCTTATCCATCCGTACTCTCCGGTCCATCATCATGTCCTGCATGTAACGTCTGGGTCTGGTCCCTGTGTTTGCGATTACAATCAGTTGAATTTTGACCAACCAATCAGAGAGCGCAGGAGGCGGGTGTTGTAGTTAGATGTGGGAGACGTCAAGAGTTTGCGTCGAACGGGAAGGTCGTAGTTTGGCGGAGAATGCGATAGTAAATTATTCTGGTCTGGTTCTATCAAGAAACTGAAGCCGGAGCAAGAGGAATGTTTAGTAAATGTAATCGCTGGAAAAAATTGTGGCGCTACTCCCCACGGGCTCCGTTAGCGGCAAAGGAGATGGCTAAAGCTAGGCTAAATGCTAAATGCTAACAACAGACTCGGGCTCATTACATACGTGACGGTAAACTCAGATCCAATGGTTTCAATCTGCAAAAGGAGTTAACCCCTCCCACCTGTTAACGGAGTCAATGGAGCAACTCAAGACCTCAGTATGAAATGTCATTTGTACTATGGTGTGGTACGATCAGGCTAACACATTTGAGGTGATTTGTGAAAACTATGTTACAAGACGATGTCCAACAAGTAAGTAATCTTTATTTATATACCGCCTTTTCACTGCAGATCTGAGTCTCAAAGCGGTTTACAATTGTTATTTTTAGGCATTTGTCTCTCACTCCACACAGAGATGGGAGGGGTCAGTACAGGAGGCGCATGCCAGAACTATTGGACATATTTTTAGTGGTAGGGGAAACCGGAGTACCTGGAGGAAACCTACGCAGACACGGGGAGAACATGCAAACTCCACTCAGAAAGGCCCTGGTCCGACCGGGATTCGAACCCAGGACCTTCTTGCTGAGAGGCGAGAGTGCTATCCACTCAGCCACCGTGCCGTGGTTAATGTTTTTATCTTGTGGGCCCATTCTGTGTGAGGGTGTGGGTTATCTGTTCTGATATTAATAAGCCGCCTGCAGAGCATCAGGCAGGACTTGGCTTTTGGCTGCACAGGCCTCAGGCAGCTGCATCTCCTCCTTGTTACATGCAAGTAACAAACTAATCCCTGTCTGTTGTGTGCGTTTGTCCAGATACAGTAACTGTAGTAGAACCCTTTTTCACATAGAGGCACATTTTGCCGCTCCCTGTTTGTCAGGGGGCGGAGCCATAATCACTTTTTTCATGTTTTGACTTGAGGAACATGTGTTTTGTGAATTTCGTGGCTCTACGACAAACTTGACCCCCTCCCATAGGCGCAATGTAAACTGACTTTTGTAGGGGGCGCTGTTCTGGCATTTTTTTAGTCCCATAAAAATAAACACCAACTAAAATGTATCTGTTGTGGAATTTCTAAGGAGTGAAATGCACAATATTAAATATAAAATAAACAACAAGAGCTGTAATTCAAATCAAAGTGTGGTTTATTATCTCAGTAAAAGTGACATATACAGGAAATACAACCGTGTAACCGCGTGGCAGGTCCCGGGTAGATCTGCTGAATAGTGCTCATTCTCTCTCACATTTATAGGATGGAATAAACAGAAGAGTCTATCTATGGCGCCTCTGAGTCCGAGATTAAGCGGCAGCTATGGCCCAAACCCCCCTCTCTCCTGACGTCTTACTCTGATAGACTCTGATATTAGGAAGAATTGTCAGTATGACCGGTGAGCCTGCTCTTCTTGCCCCTGGTATCAATCTAGTATCTGCCTCCACCCCGTTCATTGGCCTCGCGTCTCTAGAGAAAAACAGTTTAGTTAGTTTCAACAGATTTACTGGCTTTGAACTTTGTCCCAGATATCCCATTTCATCATTAGATTTATTCTTAAATTAAATTGATTTATAATCCCAGTAAGATTTCTATAACATATCCTTAGCCGGTTCTGAATTTTGGGCAAATTTCACAAGTTTTCATGCACGTTCAGGGGGTCAAATTAAGGGTCAAAGAGCTTCGCCCAGGCATTACTCCAGTCGGGGCTCGGTCTAATAAATGAAATCCAATTCATAATGTGTGCTCTCTGGCTTTGTGCTTATGAGATAGAGCCATTATTCTGGGTGGCATCTCTGGCCACCGCCCCAGAAATGGACTGAGGGATGGATGTATTGTTCACAAGTATTCACCTGTAGAAGAGGAGGGTTAGTTCAGGAACAGGATGTTGGGTCACAGAGGAAGAGCCGAGACACAATCATGAGTCACCGGTGGTTTCTGATAAGATTAAGGTCAAACCCCAGACAGAAAACACGGATCTGGACTTGAATTTACTTTGGTCCATCCCACTAATCTTTCATATCCAGTAATGTAACGTCTCGATGAGTGACTAATGCAGAGACAGAGTTGATCTGACTGAGAGACAGTTTTACTCCTTACTTTACAATGATTAGTTACTTTGCAGTTGGTGACATGGCATTCAAAAAGGGATTCCATGCCACCGAGGCGACAGAGGCCCAGTGTGTAGAGCATTGGCCTTGGAGCCTGAAGGTTGTGGGTTCGAGTCCACCTCAAGACTTTCTCCACACAGACTCCCACTGATGTCTGCTGTGGTTGTGTCCTTAGGCAAGACACTTCCCCCACATTAGACTGAGTCTGGTGTGTGTGTGAATGGTTGTTGGTGGTGGGAGGGGCCAATGGCACAGACTGGCTGCCTTGCCTTCTGTCAGTGTGCCCCAGGGCAGCTGTGGCTACAGTAGTAGTTTAGCACCACCGTGTTTGGAGAGAAAGAATAATGACATGTGAAGAGACTTTGAGTGTCCAGAAGAGTGCTGTATAAAACCAATGCATTATTATTATTCAGATTTCAGATATTGTTCCAATCATTCCACACACGGCTCCTCATCATGATCTGTGATTTATTTGAAGTTTGTGTGTTTCCAGAGTGTTAGACTTTTTCTGATGCGCAAATTCAAATTCCGAAACATGATGCTCCAAAACACAGTTTATATTTTTGCCAGAGGGAACATGTTTATTGTTGTCCAAATCTTGAATTTCATGCGTGTTTTGGCGTGTTGTGACGAAGGGTGAAATGAGCGTACACATTTACACCACCTCCAAACTTGGCGTAAATTCTGTGCGTACCGTTCACTCACGTCCAGATTGATAAATGCGGAACAGTGTAAATATTTTGCGCACCCAAGTTTCACACATGAGGCCCATTGTGCATGTTTTTAGTGGTAGGGAAAAACGGAGCACCCGGAGGAAACCTATGCAGGCACGGGGAGAACATGCAAACTCCACTCAGAAAGGCCCTGTTCCAACCGGGATTCGAACCCAGGACCTTCTTGCTGAGAAGCGAAAGTGCTATCCACTCAGCCACCGTGCCGCCAAAAAATAACTAATCTTTCATATCCAGTAATGTATTGATTCCTCTCTTTGGTTAAGACTCGGACGTCTGTCACATCTGAACAATGGCTGTTAATATTCGGACTCATACAGTACAAGTGCAGTCATGAGTATTTCAAACAGGAACTGAGCTCAATTAGAACCACACTGAGAGAGAGAGAGGACACTTATTGATTTGGAAATATGGTGTATTAATGAGAAACAGTCTTTGCTGCTGTGTCAATGGGGTCATAACACAACAGTTATTTATGGACACTGGTCTTCCTGCTCCCTACGAAGTGTTGCAATTCTTATATTTAGGGATATGTTACAAAAATAGATTGAAATGGAATGAAATTGATCTGAATACAAGTTATTTTTAGACTGAAAAGTGAAAAACTGAGAACCACCGTCTCTCAGCTCTCGGTTCAATGCGTCAAATACAGATTGAGTTTGTTTGCTATTTGCAGTAAAACCCTATTGGAAAAACTGTACAGAAGTCCCCAGCAGACAAGTGCAGGAATAAAACCAGCAAGAATTGTCACAGTGAAACCAGTTCAGCTGCAATACCAGGTGCAAGATCAAAATGGTGGCTGTCGTGATCTAGGGCGTGATCTAATGCAAAATACATTGAATAAAAAAAAAAAAATAATGCGTTCATGGACATTTGCAACGTGAATCTGTCTGTCTGTCTGTCTGTGTGTGACATCATAAAGGGGACACACTTTCTATGGTACAGACCGTAACCTCCGGGTCGGTGTGAATCATCCTGACTCAGATTGCGTCACATTCGAAAGCCTGATGTTTAACGACAGCAAAGAAGGAAACGCTGCCGGGGTTTCAAAATCACTGGTGTTGGTTCTGCTCTGTCGTCTCCAGAGCGAGAGGTTAGATAAAAATAAAAGCAGTAGTTGTTCGAAGCGTCATTTTACAGCTTGTTAAAGCTTTTTTGGAAAGAGCAGCTTCAGATAAATGAATAAAGGTTAATGTGTAATGATGAGGTCTCAATATTGTATGTAGTGGTTCTTGGCAAATATCAATGTAAAACACAACATCATTTTTGTTACCACTATGTATTTTTGTCCATACATATAAAACAAAAAGAAACATACACGTACACAAGCAGACCAGACAGGACAAATAATAGGCGGAAATACAATAACCAATATTATATTGATAGTTAATTATTCAATACATTACTGTCAACGGTTCTCCTGTTCTGATGTATTAGTGTCCATGTTTTCTCTTATTTTCCTTTGTGTCTGTGATCCCCATATGTGTGATTTACGTTTTGCCTTCATCCCATCTTAAAAAATAAAAAGTAACGTTGTTGTGATTGCTCATGTTGTTTAAGATTATGCCGCCATCTTGTGGATTTATCTCTCAACTACAACTGCATCTAATTGGCTGATTTTGTGATGTGCTTTTTTATGATTGGCTGTTGCGACAAGTTGCGTTGACAAACCTACTCCGAGTGGAAATTCTGCCACTTGACATTCAAACAATTTAGAATAGCGGTATAATATATATATTTAATCCCTAATATAGATATAGTTGTATAATAAGTAGTTATATAGTACATACACGCTGAAATATTGAGTTATTTCTAGATAGAATCAGGGGGAGAACTACAGCCGTTTGTGAGTTCCACCCGGACTGTTTTAGCGGACGCACCGGCTGTGGCAGAAGGAGGAAGCTGACATGTTTTGGTTTTGAGACGTTTCCCTGAAGAGAAAAAGCCCCAAAATGCGGAGATTTGCGGCTGGTGCGTGGTCGTGGCTGGTTCTGCTGGTGGTCGGGTTCGTTCCGGGGTTCGGAGACATCACAGACGGGAACGCGGAGCACCTGAAGCGGGAGCACTCTCTGACGAAGCCGTATCAGGGTGAGGGACCGCGGGCTGGCTGCGCTGGCTTCCTGCGGTAGAACATTTAAAAAATAAAAAGAAATGCAGATTTTTGTAGATAATTAACACTAATAATAATGTATATTTTCCACAATCTAAGTCTCATCAATACATCAAATATTGAAATTAAAATGGTCTAAAATTAATAGTTTAATTAAAAGTTAAATATGCCAGGTTCACTTAAAGCTGGGTTACCTCACTTTTTGTTTCTTATATGCAAGTAAAATGTAATTTCTGTGATAATGTATGGTATTATTAGCACTGCTGCTCCCTCCTGGTACGATGCATCACTCCTTTTGGCTCATGTTTATTGTATGTACACTGTCCCTGTAAAGCTCAAAAACATACCATGTGAAATGTAGTGATCAAACTAAACTATTTTCAGAACGAGGAACTAGTTGGATTGGTTTTGTTTGGAAGTTGGGTACCTCGGCCTTTTTATGGGAGGTTATTAGAATATAATACCACCAGATTCTAATGGAAATGCAACCAGGTAGAGTAGAGTAGAACCGAGTAGAGGTGGGCTGGTGGAAACAGGGCTAAAGTCACACAGCAGGCAATCATACAAATGTGTTTTATTTTACTTATTGTATTACTTTTGGGAATTTAGGGTTTGAATTGGCTTCAAGGTTTAACCCTTCTGGACCCTGGGAATTCAACTTTCCCGCTATTTTCCAAAGTTTAGTCAACTCTGTTCTTTTATAAAACTGTAGTAGCGGCTTCATACGGATGCGGTATGGGTCACTGCTGTTATAACCAGTTAATCAGTACAGAAAACAAAACACTTTCGTTAAACACTTCAGCTTTGAGCTCTGTTTGCCTTTGAGGCGTGAGACATAGCAGAACAGGTTTGCGACACTTATCTTTGTCAAACAGTTTCTTGTCATTTGTCCTTCACTTCATAAAGCCTGTGCAAAAAGTTAGTCTTTGCGACATATTCTAAAGATAATGAAATATAACAAAACACTTTTTTCCTGCTCACTCATTGTTAGTGTTTTGTTTAGTCGTATATTGTCTATATTTTCACATTATAATTCAATTCTATGTATTCGTGTATATCCATAAATCCCAACAGCAGTCATGACAGAAGACTTTACAAAGTTGGCCAGTCGCAAACAATAGATCAGAGAACCAGAAACAGGATATGCAATTTTATTATATAACTTGGATCGTACGCGCGCTCTGATTGGCTGATTTGCGGTCTGATATTTTCCCATCTCGGACTGTTACCATGACAATTGAGTTGGAAGAGCCAGAGGAAGTAATAACAGCAAATAACCACAAAAACACAACTCCTAACAGTCAAGAAGAGATCGACAACTTGATTACAGACCAGAAAGGTAAAACCAGGAGCAGGAAAACCAAGTGGGACATGAACATCACAGATATGTAAAAAGCTTTAGTAAAGACACAGACTGAGAACTTACAGCGGGCGCCTCAATCCTCTGTTCTTCATGTCACAGTTTGGTTGCATGTGTTTTTAGTTGAAACCGATCGATATTTGCATAAATTAAAAATAGTCATATAATAAAACATTTATTAACCTCGCTTGCTCGGTCTGTACCTTGGTCTTTTTGCACAGACCTGGCCACGGCTCGGTCTGTACAAAAAGGCCGCGGTCTGATATTTCTCTGCACAGACCTGGCGCTCGGTTAATAGGCCGTTAATACAAACACATAGGAGCCATAGGACGACCTCTGTCTATAAATGTCCTTAAAAGTCTCGGATCATTACTGTCCTTAGACTCTCCTGCATCGGCAAAGAACCACTTTAAAAAACAGTGCGGGAAAAAGGGGTCATTTTTTGTAGTTTGTAAAGTGTAATACTGTGATTGGTACTTTTTATGTCATTAAATAATACTGTGGCAAAATGTGAACATTTACTACAAGCTGATATGACCTGGTCTCAGTATCTACATCCTCAGCCTGAACCATCGCAGCAGGCTACTCCCGACATGTAGCAGCAGCGGCGGCTCTACTCCGAGCTCCTTTTGCGTCACTGACCGTATGTGTGTGTCTCCTGCAGGTGTGGGAGGTCAGTGGGACTTCTGGGGCAGCACTCTGGTCACCAGTTCTTACGTCCGCCTCACTCCAGACGAGCGAAGCAAACAGGGCTCCATCTGGAACACTGTGGTCAGAAAACATCCTTCACACATATTTATTTATATGGAACATGGTACTGACAAAAGTTTCCAAACAAGTTGGATGGGTTTTAATGTCTCTCTCTTTTTTCTGGTCACAGCCGTGTTACCTTAAGGACTGGGAGATGCACGTCCAGTTCAAGATCCACGGCTCCGGGAAGAAGAACCTCCACGGGGACGGGATCGCCATCTGGTACACGAGAGACCGCCTCCACCCAGGTCTGTGTGTGTGTGTGTCTGTGTGTGTCTGTGTCTCTGTGTGTGTGTGTGTGTGTGTGTGTGTGTGTGTGCGTGTCTCTCTGTGTGTGTGTGTATATATATACAGTGCCTTGCAAAAGTATTCGGCCCCTCGAACCTTTCAAAATTTCGCCACATTTCAGGCTTCAAACATAAAGATATAACATTTTAATTTTTGTCATGAATCAACAACAAGTGGGACACAACCGTGAAGTGGAACAAAATTTATTGGATAATTTAAACTTTTTTAACAAATAAAAAACTGAAAAGTGGGGCGTGCAATATTATTGGGCCCCTTTACTTTCAGTGCAGCAAACTCAGTCCAGAAGTTCAGTGAGGATCTTTGAATGATCCAATGTTGTCCTAAATGACTGATGATGATAAATAGAATGCACCTGTAAGTAAGTAAGTAAGTAATGTTTATTTATATACCGCCTTTCACAGACAAGGGTCACAAAGCGGTTTACAATTATTATTTTTTTGGGCAATTGTCTCTCACTCCACACAGAGATGGGAGCGGGGTCGCCGAACAGGAGGCGCATGCACAGACCTATTGTCTGTGAACAATAATTTACCTATTATTTGAACCCAGGACCTTCTTGCTGAGAGGCGAGAGTGCTATCTACTCAGCCACCGTACCTGTGTGTAATCAAGTCTCCGTATAAATGCACCTGCTCTTTGATAGTCTCAGGGTTCTGTTTAAAGCACAGAGAGAACCATGAAGACAAAGGAACACACCAGGCAGGTCCGAGATACTGTTGTGGAGAAGTTTAAAGCCGGATTTGGATACAAAAAGATTTCCCAAGCTTTAAACATCTCAAGGAGCACTGTGCAAGCAATTATATTGAAATGGAAGGAGTATCAGACCACTGCAAATCTACCAAGACCCGGCCGTCCCTCCAAACTTTCATCTCAAACAAGGAGAAGACTGATCAGAGATGCAGCCAAGAGGCCCATGATCACTCTGGATGAACTGCAGATAACTACAGCTGAGGTGGGAGAATCTGTCCATAGGACAACAATCAGTCGTGCACTGCACAAATCTGGCCTTTATGGAAGAGTGGCAAGAAGAAAGCCATTTCTCAAAGATATCCATAAAAAGTCTTGTTTAAAGTTTTCCACAAGCCACCTGAGAGACACACCAAACATGTGGAAGAAGGTGCTCTGGTCAGATGAAACCAAAATCGAACTTTTTGGCCACAATGCAAAACAATATGTTTGGCGTAAAAGCAACACAGCTCATCACCCTGAACACACCATCCCCACTGTCAAACATGGTGGTGGCAGCATCATGCTTTGGGCCTGCTTTTCTTCAGCAGGGACAGGGAAGATGGCTAAAATTGATGGGAAGATGGATGGAGCCAAATACAGGACCATTCTGGAAGAAAACCTGTTGGAGTCTGCAAAAGACCTGAGACACGGACGGAGATTTATCTTCCAACAGGACAATGATCCAAAACATAAAGCCAAATCTACAATGGAATGGTTCACAAATAGACGTATCCAGGTGTTAGAATGGCCAAGTCAAAGTCCAGACCTGAATCCAATCGAGAATCTGTGGAAAGAGCTGAAGACTGCTGTTCACAAACGCTCTCCATCCAACCTCACTGAGCTCCAGCTGTTTTGCAAGGAAGAATGGGCAAGAATTCCAGTCTCTCGATGTGCAAAACTGATAGAGACATACCCCAAGCGACTTGCAGCTGTAATTGCAGCAAAAGGTGGCGCTACAAAGTATTAGCGCAAGGGGGCCGAATAATATTGCACGCCCCACTTTTCAGTTTTTTATTTGTTAAAAAAGTTTAAATTATCCAATCAATTTCGTTCCACTTAGCAATTGTGTCCCACTTGTTGTTGATTCATGACAAGAAATTAAATTTTTATATCTTTATGTTTGAAGCCTGAAATGTGGCGAAATGTTGAAAGGCTTGAATACTTTCGCAAGGCACTGTATGTGTGTGTGTGTCATATCTGAATGTAGGGCTTCACAATATTGGAAATTATATTCGATATGAATGTTTAATATTACGATAACAATATTATTGTGATATTTTTGTCTTTCACCTAAGAATGCAAAGCTTGGTGTGTTTCTTCCTGTGCTCCACTTCAGCGTGTGGCGGCACAAGGTCGCAGCAGATTTGTCAAAGCGTGCATACAGGAATATTTCAAAATGGTCGCACGTCTTTTAGATATGGATATGGCACGTACCAGTATCACAATGACAATATTTTTCCATATATCGTGCTGCCCTCTCTGAATACATACATCTGTCATACATGTGTCATGCTTCTCATTCGCTTCGTTTTGTGATTGAGAACAGAAGCCGTATTTCTGTCAATCATGGTTAAAAGTTTATTTTGTCATTCTTTGATTTTTGTTTGTTTGCAACTAGAGCTGGACAATATGCACAAGTTTTCAATACACCACAACTTTATGCCGTCCGGTGGGAAAAAGTGAGAAACCTTGGAGACCTGGACGGAGGGGAAGGGAGTGCAACGCTAGACTGTAAATATTAACAGACGTAGTGACCAGTGTGGGCAGATCACGGCTCAAAAATGTCTAAAATGACATTCGCTGACCTGCTGCAATACCACCCCGGGCCTGTGGGGGTGGACCCGGAATAAGAATTATTCAATGCAAATGTACGTATCTTCAGACCTCTGGAAAACGTCTTTACAGGATGGTCCAGAAGTGGCTCTTGGCTCAAAGCTCCGTTCCACATGTGTGTCAATGCTGAGGGGGGTGAATTTTTTTAGACCAGTCTAGTTTACTTGCTGTGAAATTTTGAAGCCACTCGTCAAATGAATGGGGTCGGTGCAGCTGACGCATGTGCAGATGCGTTTTTTCACATTTTCCAGTCCCCGCAGCCATTTTGAAACTACCATTAGACTGCG